GTTCCTAAACTGATCATGTGTGCCACAGTTTTGGGGTTTAGATACCTTAGAAATATGTAATTTTCTTAAGGTAGTGAAACACTTTCTGACAAATCAGAAAGCGTTAAGCTATACCACCTTATGTACTACAAAACTGAGGTATTCAAAATTACTTGTCACTCTTGAAAATGTAGGCCCAAACGTGACTGGTGCCACTTTAGTCAGGGGGGGCATGTGCCCCCTCAGTGACCAGTAAGTGACTGGAGGGGGGGGTCTCCCCTGTGGCCAAACTCACCAACCGGGGAGGGGGGAGGAAAGCCCCCTGCAACTGATTGTAAAGCAGCTGTGGTGCTCCCACTCCCTGGCTGGCGCTTGCAAGGGGGGGCACCGGCGCTCCTGCCTGCCCCCCCTGCTCATTGACTGAGCGGTGAGTGCAGCTTCTCAGGAGGTGCACATGCACCCCCTAGGCATCGCCACTGGGCCCAAATAGTCAAAGTTTTCAAAAGCAGCCAGTGTTATGCATCTTGTATACTTTTTCATTTTTTGTTATTTCCCATTAATCACTAGACATTGTTGCATTGTCTGTTTACCTCCACCACAGGGTTTGGAGCACTGAGACCAGCTCTTCAGTGCCCACTCAAAAGTATCTATCTCCTCCTGAAGTACATTGTTACTGTTGATCATTGGTACTGAATCCTCATGAATGATGTATTTGTAAGTCAGACTAGACCTTGTGTCGTTCTCTTGAGGAATGATCTATTGAAGATAAAACATTAAAAAAGGCTTGACACCAGAGTACATATTTATTCTTTCCAATGTCGACAAATTAGCAACTGGAAATGTAGAGTTTCTGAGATTAACACAAGCTGTGCTCACTGATCAAAAACAACATTGATCTTTCTCATTTATATTTAGTAAAATCAGTAAGATTGCCACAAGAAAAATATTTCTCTAAGAGCCAAAATGAGATCTCTAACACAGGAGCAAATCTGGAACCTTTCTAACATTGGATTATTAGGCTGGATTGTTCTGTGTAGCCTGGCTATGCCTTGTGGCCAAACTAATACACCTTTCTGGAGGAAAGGGTTCATCTCGAACATGGTTCTAACAAAGTGCCCTGATGAGGATGCAGTGGCCCGTGATACTCATGGAAACTGTCCTGTTGATACCATGGGCACTGTATCACACCTGTAGTTAGCATGATACTGCTGCATGAATAGGAAAGTGTTTATGATATTTTGGAATAGATACTGAACTTTGGCCACCAAAATTATTTTCCAACCTTGTTCCTCTTCTAGTTTGTATGGACAGAGCATAAGGCTATCAGATAGCTCTTACACATGCAATGTCTACTGGGAGAAAAAAAAAGCATGGTGATATTTTGTGACATTGGTCACACCCACGACTTTACATAACCTACCAATACAATGACAGCATCATGCAAGGGCCCATCAGTATGAAGTGTTTCTATGTCATCCTCTATGTTGTATTCCCACTCCACACCAAGATCGATGAAGGATCGTGACTTGGCCTCCTCTCCTTTGCCATTCAGAATATAGTGTCCTGTAGCCTGGTTCTTAATTGCTAAAGAGAGCAAAAACAGTGGCAGTTGTGCCTCTTGTTTTAAGAGGGGGTCTGTCTTCTATTCTGATTTTTTTCCCTAAACTTACAACAAAACTAAATGACTGAATTCATATCACTATATGTAAGGCAGACTCTCAGCATGATGTATTTATTAGATCTATGGTGTCACCCTTTATTGAACAGTTATGCTGTCAGGCAACTTTTGACCCCAAACAGTATTGTACAAATTTAAGTATTTAAGTATTGTACAAATAAGCTTTAACAAATCCTCAAACCAAAAGAAATGGTCCCATATTTTGCAACAGATTCTGAGTTATTTTTTGGCAACAAATGGAACTTTCACTACAGTGTTTGCAACCTAGACACAGCAGCATTGTGTAAAGCTTTGGCCCAAAACCCACTGAAGTCAATGAAGTCTCCCTCTCACCTCACTCAGTTTTGGATCACAGGTCTTTATGTATTAGGAAGGGGCCTATGACTCAGAGAAAAATGAAACTGGTAGTCTTTTTCACTGTCCACTGCCCAGACCAGTCATGACATCAGAGTGTGTATTGAAGATGGCCATCCTCCACGTGGCACAGCGCTCCCTCAAGGGCCCAGCATGCCTCAGAGGTGGGCACTGCCCACCAGAGCACAGCATGCTCAAACTCCAGTGAGAGGCGTGCCTGCACCAGGAGCCTGAAAACTCGCAGGGCATCGTCTGAGTCGGTCCCGGCAAGCCAGTTTTGGAAGCTCTTGAGGACGGCCATCTTGGTCTGACCCAGTAGAAAGTTGGCCAGGCAGATGACGCCCCGCTTGGCTGCCTGGTATGGGTAGGAGCACACACAGGTGTTCTCCAAGAGGCTCCTGCCCAGCACCCACAGCAGCTGCTTGAGGATGACAAACAGCAGTCACAGGCAGGAACAGTTGAGGAAGGCATGAAAGAGGTCTTCCTCAATGCCCCCCAGGCAGAATGGGCAGGACGTAGAGGTGGCTGGGTCAAAGTGGGATGCAAATGTGCCAGTGGCCAGGATGCCATGCAGCAACCACCACTGCAGGTCGCCAGTCTTCTTGGCAGTTGGCTTTTTTCCCTCCCCAGGAAGGAACGAAAGAAAGAAAGTTGTGTCTGCCAATGTGATCAAAGTACCATGTTTGGTAACTTATGTGGAGTTCACTTTACCCCCTCAGTCTCTGACCCATGCAGGCACAGTCTATAATCTCACTCTTGGGCTTCTTGACATATATTTGCTGTACAATATAGTAATGATAGTTTTCAGTAGTTCATACTGTGGTGTTTGATTATCTGGAAAAACTGATTAACCAGAATGATACTGACACTAATTATTCTGGATAATCGATACTCTCCTGTACACTGGCTAATCATCATCAGCTCATGATTCTAGAAAAGTCAAACAAGAAGCAAACATATTTACTAAATTTGTGTTGTAGGACTCAGTTCTGCGAATGCAGTAACAAATGCAAAAAGGATGATCAGCAAAGCCTGTAGCAGGTTACAGTTTTCCAGCACAAGGATTCCATTTAGTTTGGTTGTTATTTTATTTCTCAGGTTCTTTGATGCATGGCTTATTGATTCAAATTAACCCTCATGCATACAGCCAAACCTGAGGAAACAGGAAAAAAAAAAAAAAAAAAACTTACCAAGAATGTGAGGAGAAGCCTCGTCTTCTTGGATAAACACATGTCTAGCACCATGAGGGATATCAAACATCTTAAGGTACCCTTTGGCATGTGTAGTGGTCATTGGAGAAAGCAAAGGAAGAAACAAAAAGCAATAGCTATGGTTAGTAAAGCACTACATTATCCATCTCCTACTTGCAGAATAGGGCATCCATAAACCTAGAAACAGTTTCACCAAGAAACTGAACAGATAGGTTTGTAACACATTCCATTAATTTTTTTTCACTTTTTTCTCCTTTTGGGGGAAAAAAGAAACTCGTTACAAACCTATTACCCAATTACTTGTTATATTGACTTAAAGCTATATAATTAACATTTCAGGCAAAAATATATGTTTCCTGTGTTTCTCACAATTAAAACACACAGCGCTACCTGTCACCTACCTATCAGCCACAGCTGAAGACTTCAGGTTTACATAATTTATTGCAAGGTGGTCATCTCTTATTGTGTATTTACTTAACTCTCTCAAATATAACAGTATATGAAGAAATGTGGAAACAAGCCATCATAAACTACTGTCACAAATCAGTAAGGAATTATTTACATGGGAAGTTAAAACCAAATTAATTATGGTTATGAATTTAAAATGTATTGTTAAACTCCCTCTGCAGTAATTGCCTATTTTTGTATTAGGGTTAATTAGCTCTCCAATACTGAGAGCAAAATGCTTTTTCCAAAAGGACTGTTCATATTCTGAACTCTTACTTTTTAAATGTGAACCACAAATCAATGGTTTAGAATATCATTTTAGAAGGCAAAGTAATATTTTTTCCATCAAAGGGAAAAAAACGTTTATGGAAAATTATTTCTCTACTTCTGGCCACCATAATTTTGCACCTCTCCAAATGACAATATGTTGGCAAGGACTGAAGTGAACATTTTTTAGCACATTTAAGAATGCCAGCTTTTAGCTATTTTAAAGCGTAGTATTTTCATATTTATTGGTGTATTTTCATCTTGAGATGGGTATATTAAACTAATCAAATCTTCTTAGTACTAATATATAGCATTTTGATAAACTGTTTTATTTAAAAAAATGCTGTACTAACATGTCTCACTCTCACATCCTGCTTGTAATATGAAATCTATACATTGCAGTCCTCTTGCAGAATCAGCATAAACTGATGGGGAAAGAATTAGACTCCCTTTTGTATTAAATAACCACAAGATTGATAATTCATGTTTGATGATTCTGGTCCAAGATTCCCACTGTTGAACAACTCTTCTCTTGGCTCACATGCTGTAACATATACAGCTACTTGGAAAACTGATGAAGAAAATAAAGAGATGTGTGGCTGGTATTTATTTGCATAAGCAGTATTAGCTAATTTTTTTTTTACTGGTCAAGTTTCAAACATATGAAACATACAGTTTTTGCCTGCTCTTTTGCAGTACCTGTAAAAGAAAAGCCAGAAATTAGAGCTGAAGGGAGTTCTGGGTTGTCATGGATGCCCATCTTTCTGCAAGTGGGTAAAACTTACCCAGAATATTTTTAGACTCCTTTGTTTCAGAAAGGGAAATATTGCGAGCTCCTTTGGGCAGTGTGAATGCTCCTCTCGTCTTCCCTTAAATAGAATGTCTTTAATTAGTGTTCTGGGAGCCCAGTCTTCCTCTTTCATTGACTACATTTTCAGCCAGATGCATTTTACAAATGCAAGGTACAAATTACATTGTTACATTATTTGCACAAAATGAATTTAAACCATTATTGTTCGAAATAACCAGCAAATTTTAATAGTCAATGAAAGTCAGACTGAGCATGAATGGGAAAAAAAGTCAGGGAGGCGATTTTAAGTTTGATACTTGCAGATTTCATTTTCCAGCAACTTGATTTCTTTTTGGCACCTCTTGCTTAAATGTTTCCCTGTTGGAAGAGGTCAATTAGTCCTTTTAATTATTATATTTCCAATATTACTGTAAAGCAATAGAAGTTATGTTAGCACAGAATCATTAGCTTGGAAAGGACTGATTAAGAACTGGCTCTTTCTAAATCATCTAAGGCTACTGGTCATTTTCAAATGAACTGAATGGCAGATTTTTGGAATACCATTTATATTTTGCACATGGTCCATGCTTTACAGCAGTGGTTCTCAGTCATTTTGGATTCAATGCACCCTATTATGAAATGCCATCTCTGAGCTTCCACATACTTTTTGACTAGGGGAAAATAATAGAACAAGTTTTTGGTTGCAAAGAACTCAGAAAGTCCACAACCAGTTCAGACTGTTTTTGACACTGTGGTTTCCTATTTGAAATCTCTGCATTTTGTGGTGTAGGTGTTTGCATACCTAACAGTGCTAATATTGTGGGGCACCCCAAACAGCATCTTGCGCACCCTGGTTGAGAATCAGTGCTATAGAGAATAAAAAATTAGCATTACTTAGAAAATAACTTATAAGAATGAGTAGAAAAAAATCTGTGTTTTTTTTTCAATGAAAACATTGGGAAAATTCAGGAAATTTTCACTTTTGCTTGTGATGAAGGATTTAAGTATTTCAGAAGGCACAGTAAAATACTGAAGTGCTACTGGTTCCAGAAATAAGCATGATTACATATATACCTGCAATTTGCTGTTTTCCATCCCTGAAATATACAGTATTTGTTTATTCACTATGTTATAAATAAATTTCCCATCTAGGACACCACATAGAGCAGCAGCCAGGAAAAAAGGTGTAGAAAGCATCAAGATTTTAAAAGATCATGTATTTTATAAGGAGGTTACAAGTGAATAACTCAGTTGGCCTGAAGAGTTGGTAGCAATAATTATATTCCCAAAGGGCTGTGGTAATTAATAAATATTTTACAGTGGAATCCTTGTAATGTTTCATTTTTATGCATTTTAATTTCTTCTTTTGCTAGGTTTAACTTGTTTTTTTAATATACTGACCAATTTTTTCAGTCATTCATACTGTTGTACACCTGGATAGCATCTCTGGCTGCTATTAATACTATTTGCGGCTATGCAAGTTAAATTGCAGACACACAACTCCTGACTTCTCCTTTAGCTTACTTCCTGCTTCAACCCAAGCCCCTCTAAGATGTACAGCAAGTACCCCTTTGCATAGTTGTTTTCCACAGTATGCTTGGGAGACAGATCCTTGATCTACTTCTCTATAGTCTACATTACCATTAGCAGTATGGATAAGATTTGCCCATCGGGGAACAAGTTTTTTTTTTAAACCAAAACAAACAGCTTTGAAAAGCCTGAACATGAATATGCATGCGCACATACGTGCATGTTACAAAATATTGTTCTAAAACTATATACTCTTCATATCATTTTGTACTCACATTTCCTTTTTAAAATCTTTAACGTGTTGTCAACTTCATATGAAGGCTCATAATTTCAACCTCATTTTGATGCCTTGGTAAAAAAAAAATAACCATTTGGCAAAAGCTTGATATACCTCTATTTCCCTGAGTGTGCAACATGGTTTCATGTATGTAGCAGGCCTCATCCCTTGCTATCATTATGCTAGTCCGCAGTGCTATAAAATGGCAGACCCAGTTAAGTGCACTGAGACAATGCTGCCAGTAGACAAACACAATTGCCATTGACTGTAGCAGAGGGTATGCTTAAGTGCTGAGAGGTACCATTTGACACGCTATTGATCGGGGAGGGTGTTTAATATAATACTCCATCCATTACGGCAACAGTTAACTGATGAGGCTAATATGTTAAAAGTAGTCTAGGGGATTTGAATTCATTACCGTTACCATTACTTGTACCTCCCCCTCCAAAGAAGACATTCACCTTTCCGGGGGAAGCCACAACAATGGGGCAGGAGAGGAGAGCAAGGTTTTGGTTAAAAAGTGTTTGGAATCAGCTTCTTCACTTAAGACATACACCCCAATTTTTCATTGCTATTTTTCAGGACAAAGGGGAGCATAATATGTAAATAAATAAAGTAGTAAAGGTGAGTATGCGGATAAATTTCCTGGACCACTTTTAAAATCTCAGCCTTGACATCTTTTCTGTTCAGCTAATAGAACCTCATGTTTCAACTACTTGTTTTTAAATATATAAAACAATTAGAATGAGAAGAGGATCCCACTGAAAAACATTATGCCTAGCTCTCAAGCTGCATATTTACTTAAGACACAAAAATAATTATATGATTGCAGATTGCATTTTGTTTGGGTGTTTTTTTCTTTTTTGACCTAGGGATTTTAATTTGGGAGTTTACAACACAAAGCCAAATTAATAGACATAAAGAACAAATTCAAAGATGTACATAACAAACATCAAACCTTCTACACAGCAATGTTTTCACTAGCAATTTAAAGAGAAGCATGTGGAAAACATAAGTCACCAAACAAGATGACTCCTTCAGAGGTGTTAAAATAAAATGTATGCAATGCATAGTGCTGTGAAAGGAGGGAAGCAGATATAACAGGTATAACACCAACACTGAATAAAATACAATGTATGACTAAATAGCATTTTTCAATCCCTGACTCAGTGTTCAGAGACTGAAGAATACTATGAATGGAGGCTCTTTAAGGCCCTGCTCCTGCATGGCTGACATCAGCTGGACACAATTTTTATTGAGGCCCTGGTTTCTACAAGGGTAAAATGGACTTAGCTTACATTTACAACCCCTTTCAAGTCTCTTTATATTGCTGTGGTGGTAGCAAAGAATCCATTGTTTTAAAAAAGTAACTGGTGGCAATTGATATCAAAATTGCAGGATCAGGCCTCAATCTGATGACTAAAAATGAAAAAACAAAAGCAGACACAGGGACTTAGTCAATTCCATGTTTCATTCTGTATAAGCAAATGTGCTCTACATAATGTTGTTGGACGTCCTAGTTTAGCCAAATTCTCTTACAAGGGGTCCTTCAACAAACAGAAAACAAATCCTTAATATTTTGTTTTTATGTTTTTATAAAAGATATGCAAATTCTTTATTATAGATCAAACTAGTTTTTGTAAACAATCTTCCAACTTTGGTTAAGCACCTTCTGATCAGTCCACATGAACAATAAATACAACACAGCATTAACGATAATATGGAATGTATCTGGAAGCATGAAAAGGCTAATCCTACCAAACTTTTTAGGAGTTCGAGTAAAGGTCCCTTTTACAGTTCGGCAATGCGAGTTATCTCCACCACAGACCCCACATTTATCTTCAACTTTATTGGAACCAATTTCCTTGTCACAGCCCACTTTCTGCAGACAGAAGAGTAAAAGGAAGGGGGGAAGGGTTGTTTTTTGGTCTCTTACAAATGTAACTGCAGAAGAAAAACTCATAAAAATAATTCACTGTGAAAATTTCACCCAGCCAGATGTATTTTAAGTGTCAGTTACTTGAAAGACTGCAGCTGAATAACAGTTCTAGGGAAAGAGCTAAGAACAGATTTGTACATTATACTCACATATGACATGACCCTTGCAATTAATTTGCCAAAAATAAAAAAGCACTAGAAGCAACTAGCTTTAAGAAAGGATTACTTAGAAAAGCATGGTACATGTCAGTAATACATCTGTACTGTGGTTATAACATGTGATTAAAAAAATTAGGAAACTGTGGAATACAAAGTTTGGCAAACATTTTTTTGAAAATGCTTGCAAAAACCTCTCTCAAAATACTTGTTGAGTATTTCTGAACAACTCTACTGACGATTATTAACCAATATTGTTCAGGCAGGAAACCAAAGCCAAACCTTAAAAAAATTATCACTCACCACGCACTCTCCACGCACACAAATACTGTATGGATCTTTATAAGAACAGCGAGTCCCATCATGGGCCAGTTGTTTCACATAAGCGACATCCCCTGTTTCTTTGGATTGGCAGTAAAGGTGACATCTTTTATTGGCTGCATAACAGGAAGAGAGTTAACGCCATGCATTTCAATAACACAAGAGCGTTGAACAAAAACAGTTTTAAATTCAAGACATATCACACAGGGACACTATCTGATAGAATACAACAGTAAACACACACATGTGAAATCTAGTCAACCTCAAAACATCACAGAAATCAACTTCCTTTGAAATGGCATTGCAGAAGTAAGTCTAGAAGTAACTGTTCACTCCAACTCAGAAGGCGAACTAAGTCTGATGTGGGAAACTGGTGAATGGTAGAATAATGTAGGCCAGGATTCTGAAAGAACCTAAGGGTACAAAGTGCCCAAACCCACCAAACGTCAACTGGACCTGGTCCCTATCTCCCTTAGGTTCCTTTGAAACTGCTAGTCCTACTTATACTTCCAGATCACTTAATCAAAGTTCATATTTGTGGCAGGAGGGGGTACCCCCCCAAAGGGGAACCCAAGGGTGGGGGGCCCCAGAAATTTCCCCTCTGTATCTGAGTGCAACATCAGAACCTGGTGGAGGCTGGTGAGCTCTCCTGTGTCCCTACAGGGAAAGCAGCTGCTGGATGGCAGAAAAAGCAGCTGTGATTTGCAGTTCCTGTTTGATCTGTACTGGAGGACACCCAGGAGCCAGCCAGATAACTGGAAATCCAGCATGGGCAGAGAAGGAGGAGAGAGCAATGGGAGAATGGTGCGAAGAGCCGCACAACTGAGAGGTAGGCAAACACCAATAAAGCTGGTGAAGGAAGAGCCTCTGTGGTCTAGAAGTTTGGAGGACCACCCGGCAGCAGGTACCTGAGCCCCTGGAGAAGTGGTGAGGAGAAGAAGCCCCAGGATGCCTTTACCAAGCCAGGTAAAGAAAGGGAGGACTTATCCTTCTTGATTGGGGCATGATGAAATCAGCAGGCAGTTAATGCGCCAAGTGAGTGAATAGGGAACGGTTAATTACCTAGAAGGGAGCGCATTTTGGGATTTGCAGCTTTTTGAAAGTAGGAGCTTTATTATGTGAGAGAATATGGCCCTTAATGACTGGAGAATACCGTGATTATCCAATGAAACTAGTTGGACTAATTGATTTCCCTTAGTGGTCAATTCATTACAGACCTTTTCTTGATTTCATTATGTATTATTATGTAATAGCATCATGGAATTAATTGAAAGGATGGATTTCCTCAATGATTAATGAATTGTGAACGTATGTATTGATCTCATTGTTTGATTGACTAATGGAATGAAGTGGGTGGATTAACCTTTTAAAGGATTCATAAGCAACGGACTTTTTTTTTTATTTAATTGATTATCATTTATTTATGGTCCATTGATTGAGCAGAAGCTTTAGTAAGCTGAATGTGGATCTGAGTTGATATCTGGCCCTACAGAATTATATCAGTAGTACCCAGTGTGCTAATATCAGCGCTGTACCATTTTGTGGGAAGTAAGTTATACATCATCAAAACGCTTGGCTGGCGTGTGGAAGGGATGTGAGAGGAAGTGGAGCCCCATAAAGTGCCCTCATGTGCAATCAGAACCAACTCCAATTGATGACCAGGAACCCTCCCATTGATTTCCAAGATCAAGGCATGGTGGGTGAAAACAGGGTCAGTTTCAGTGACTGGGACATGCTGAGGCCCAAGCTGTCCTACCTTAAGAGCTGACACTACAGGGGTCTGACCTCCTGTTCATTGCAGCACAGGTAATACCAGCAACTGCATGCACAATATTAAAACTATGAAGTGTATCTTATGACGTAAAAAGTATGAACAACAAGTCAGCTGCATTGGCAACTACCCATCAAGGTTTGCGGTGCCTTTCATAAGGCCAGAGGTGTCAAACTCAACTGGTCCCAGGCTGGCCACCATAATGGCAGGAGCAGTGGCAACTAGAGTGGTGGTGTTAGGCAGCTGCCAGGTGACTGAGGGCTGTGTTGACCAGCCTTCCCTTGCCCATGTGCTACTGAAGGCCATGGCTACTGTGGTCGCAGGATCCCAGATTCTGTGGTAGTCCCCACCCGCTCCTGGACATGCCCCCAAATTCTCTGGGCTGATGGTGGCTTGACAAGCCAGAAAGAGTTGGCTCAATGGGCCAGACAGATCCAGCCTGCTGTTTGACACTCCTACATTTACCTAATAATCTTATTGTTGTTGTTGTCTTTATATCTCTCATTCACTAAAATTAACCAGAAGAGAGAAAGCTAATGCTGTTAATGATTAAATCTGCTAGACTGAGGTCTGCTAGACTGATGGTGGAGGAGATGGGTCTCTGGAAGAGTAGAAAAATATTACAGAATTTTTAAGACAGTGCTTTTAAGATGACATGTGTGATACTTTTAGCTGTACTTGACAAAACCAGCAATGATTAAACATTAATAATGATACTGTTATGCAAGCCTCCTGTAGACATACTGTGGGTGATTGGCAGACATAAGGGGGCTAGAGAGGTCCTTCTGGTAGTGAAAAAGAAACTTGGGGCATATAAGCAAGGTCACAGTCATGGAAGGCAAGTAAGCACTCAGCTGAGCACCTTCAACTTCCACAGGCTTCCCTGAAGGTGCAAAGAGCCATAAGCTCTTTGCAGGATCAAACCCTCACCAAGGAAAGGATCAGGTGGGACTTGTGTGCCCAAGATTGAGCATGAGGAAATTATACAGCAGGTTCTCATTGACTACACCTGTTTTCTTATTTTGGGCCATCACCCTTTCTCTGTTTGATTCCCACCTATTCCTAGCATGACAGTTACTATTTTTTGCAAGCAACACTATTCAAGGACACCTTCAGTCCTTGATGTGCTATACAGTGAAGCAAAATCCCAGCAGGGCTGCAGGTCCTGGGGATCTGTTTTTAGAAACAACATCGTTCTAAAAGAGTAACTGTACGTACAGTCAGGATGTTCGTATGGCAACCAGTGGTGCTTGCTGTTTTGATATTCAAAATGGGAATTGCGCTGCTGACACTGCTGAGCTCTGAAGTCCTCAAAGTGCTTTGGACATTCTTCTGTGTTGCAAAGCTGATATTCAAAATTCACACCAGCACAATCCTGACCCCCATTGACTGGCCTGCATCAAAACATGTTAGAAAGGCTTTAAAAAATACTTGAACCTCAGGAATAGAGATTTGCTGATGGCATGCTCTAGTGCAAAATAGCAGTTTAATCTCAAATAAAAGTCTCATTCTACTTCTCAGAGACAAATTTACAAAGATGGGTGCAATGGGTAACCTGGCAAAAATGAAAACAGAATAAACAATAGAGCCCCCCATTTGCACTTGCAAAGCTGTGTGAGAACATGGGCTGGTCAGGTGACTAGCCATGCAATTGCCCAATCTGAATGCTTGAATGGAAGGTTTTGTAGATGCAATAGGTGCGTCCATGCACTGATAACAGTAGACTTGCAACGGATTCTACGACTGTCATTTAACAGTGCATCTGGTAGATTGCTAAATCTGTATTCCAACTTCTCTCCACTGCTTTGCATATTTCCTAATACTGTATGGATTTTTTTGTTACATGTGTCTGGAAGTTCTACCACAGTCCAAAGATAATCCCACCCTTCCTCATGTTCTACAAATAGTCTGGGTCCTGGAAAGAATATAGCAAACCCTCAGGTCCACAGGTAAGCATACTGCAACTTTAGAGTCCCTCCCTAGCACCTGTGCAAACCTTGCTGTTGTGTAATAGTGGAGAAACCCCAAAGCACCCCTAAACAAAGCTTTCATTTACACCCTGAGTAAAGTCAGACACAATTACTATCATGCTGCCACAGCCTGTAGGTAGGGGTGCTCCAGTCACTATGCCCTGAATGGAGTCCCCAAGCCACTCCTGTGGGAGCTCAGCCCCCTGTGCATGAGAACCATTCCCAAGTCTTGCTGGACTTGAGAATTCTGGCAGGCATTACACCCACACATGAATGTCATTCAAACTGTAGCTCACAACCACAAAGATTCCAGTCCAGTGGGGAATACCAGTTACTCAGAGACTTCCAGGCTCACATTGGATTGTTGCACTGGCGTGTTCTGAAGCGTACTCCCGTACCACAGGTCCGTGAGCAAGAACCAAATTTAGTCCAGGGTCCCCAGTTGCCATCCTGTTTCAGTTGGTTTGCATTCTTCCACATACAATGGCCTTTGTAGCACCACTGAAAAATACAATGCAAGCAAAACAGAGAGGTGCAATTACAGTTATATAATGAGCAATGCAGTTATGGGCTAACCTGTTATAGTACCTGTCCTTTACCATGAGAAATCATACACATGCACTGCCCTGGGCACAAAACAGGGGATGAATCAAAGACTCTGACTCACAGCTCCCTGGGAAAGGAAGAGTCATATTTCCATCTACTCTTTATCTGTCTACTCTTGTGCTAGTACCTACACTACAGGCTAGCAACATGCTCCTACCTTATGGAGCTTAGGGACTCTCAAGCCCTTCATTATTCTGGTAGGATTCCTGTTTGCTCCCTTTTGGTCTTGTTTTCTGCTGGCTTCCATTCAGAACTAGCTATTTTAAGAATTATGCTGCCAGATACACACCAAGGTGCAGCATAAGCCTTTTTGTTCATATTGACCAGTTCTTGATATCCAAATACACTGGGATAGAGGGTTAGTCATTCAGCAGCATATTTTTGCTGTTGACAGTGACACATTCAGGTGGCATAAGTAGCTTTTTTGTGTCTCAAAGTACATAGGATTTGCTACAGCAAACAGCTATTTTCATATAATTTTATAATTAAAACTGAATTAGAAGCAGGACACCCACTGATGGAGATATTATAAGGGAAAAAAAAGTTATTCCAGAACATTTGTAACCACTGAGCCACAAGACATCTGGCCCACGAGCACCAGGAGTTTAGGAGTAAGCAGGTCAATCCTACAGTAAGAGCACTATCTGCTTCAGTGGCTTTCCATTGCTGCTTTCTGGGCAGCTTGAAAATGAAACAAGACTCCACGAATGTCACATAAAGCCTGCAAGAAGACACCACTATAAGGTCAGCCCTAAGGTTGGGTTTCAATGTCTTGGTTTCATAAAATACATTATGCTACAATTTGCTTTGAAGACAGGCCAGTGCAGTACACAGAAAATTGCACTGAGAAAGGAGAGATCCCCTTTTTATCACCTAGAACTCAATCCTACAGTGTGCTAAGCAACTTCTGTAGGTTATAGGTGCCCCTAAATTCCCACTGAGTCAGGGAACTCTGTGTGTAAGCTCCAGACAAGATCCAGAATGGTTTTTGTGATGAAAAAAGGATACTGAAAGCACAACATACTTTCCCAGGAGCACATTCGGTCCCATCAAGCGGAGGTCCCTTCTTAGTCTTACAGAAGTATGGGTTGTCTGGGTGGCTACACCACAGCTGCTTGCAGGGGTCAAAGGTTCGAAACTGAAATGTAGCAAAAAGCCCAATTCACTTATGAAATTAAATTAAAAATCCAATTATTAACATTAATTCCAATAACACTCAGGTCACACTCACCAAGCTGTTTAATAGGTTAAAACTAAACTGACTAACCACCACCATATATATACATCAGAGTGTAGTATCATAATACAAATATACCATACTGAAGCTCTTCCCCAAGAGTTACTACTGGTTTTTGTAAAATCAGGCATTATGCACTCTGTTGTCACAAAACCCCAGGAATATATCCAGACATACTTGGAACCATGTTATACGGTCATTTAATGCCTTCATACAATGTCTAGTATAAATGTGCACGTTTATTTCTATAACAAATAAGCATAATGTGCAAACAGTATTAAAAGGTATGCATTTAGAATTAAGGGAAATGTTAACCACACAAAAGGAGTCTCTCTGACAAAATATGAGTGTATCTCTTTTGGACTGGGCCACAGCAGGTAAAAGCCCAAGGAAGGGCCACTATTTCTGCAGACAGGCAAGGTAGGAAAAGATGCATTTGCTTAAATAAGTTATTATGATTTGAAACACCACTTAGGGCCTTGTTGCACATTAATAGTAGGCAGCTCCTGGAGCTCTTAAACCCCAGACTGGCCATACATTAACACCAGAAACTAGTTTTAAGCACATTTAAGGTAGCTGAAAGTTATACCACTCCAGGTCAGGTTTACTGCTGACCTGTGTTACCAAGCTCAGGTTCCATTAATGTGTGGCCACCCCCCACAGGTGAGCTGCCCAAGTTTCAGTCCTCCAGCATCCAAGGATGCAGTGTCTCCCCCCACCCTCCTGTATTATGTGGACAAACCTTCCATCCCCTGAACTCTATTGCTCACGGGGCAGTTCTGGCACCAAGCCAATCCCCTCTCCCACCCCTGGGTGTTTGACCTTCCGACTCCTGGGGGTGCAACCCCATGCCAGCTCCCCAGATCACAAGGCATGGACAGGTCTAGGTGTGGGGTCTAGCGGGGTGTGGGGAGAACAAGGTAGGTAGCTAGATTGGGTCCCATGAGCTGGGAGGCTTCACTCTAAGGGCAGGGGCCATAGCTCCCCCAAAAGTGCCTACCCTCACCTCTCCCACCTCCTAGCCACCCCAGGAAACATGACCAGCCCCTCCCCGCCATTTTATTAAAAGATGAGACTTTCTTTAATTTACTTCCTCTTTATTTTGAATTATTTTTATTTTTCAATTCTTTTTATTTTATCTTTCACTGATTGATTGATTTCTTTCCTTTCACCACCACCCTTCCCTCACCCCCATTTCCTTCCCACTGCCCATTTCCTTACCTACCCCCATCCCATTAATTTTCAGCCTCCCAGCTTCATATTCCTGCCTCCACAAATCATCTCTAACACAACCCCACCTAGAGCAGGGATAGAAGCCTGTTCTGGCTCTCCAGCTTTGTAGTGGCAACTCACAGCTGTAGCTCCTAGTCCAGCTGCTGCTCACCAACTCTCTAGTGGCAAGTCATAGCTGTGCAGGTTGGGGACAGTCAGAGCTAAGGTTTTTAGCTTTAAGGTCTGACTGCTCCAAATTCAAGGTAGCACTAAGGGCCTTGTTACATGGTAATTTTGGGAAGCTTCTGGAGCTCTTGACTCCTAGATTATCCACACATTAACACCTCAAAGTGGTTTTAAGCACTTATGAGGCTCAAAGTTATGCAACTAGAGAGCAGGATTATCTCTGATTTGTACTACTCAGCTCCTGTTCCATTAAGGTGTGGCCACTCCCCACAGATGTCTTGGCCAACATTTGTGCGGTTCACAGTGGGTACATCGACACATGCAATTAACATGATGTAGTAAACTCTGGAGTACTTTGAGCCAGAGTGAACTGCTCATGGGCCCAGCATCTACCAATGCGATTGGGACAGCGGCACTTTGAGCCAGGGTGGAGCTGGCTGGGGCTAGCAGCAGGCTTTGGGGTCAGGGCCAGGCTCCAGGTGGCAGAGGAACTGGCTGGATCACAGGGATGCTGAACACGTGGAGCTGTGTGGCTAAGCAGCAGCCAGCAGTCTGGCCCGCGCCCAGTCATTAATGAAGTCTGCGGGAAAGTTCTAATTAGAACACTCCAGCAGCCTGACTGTGATGTGTATTCAGCATCCCCAGGTTTCAAAATGGTGGTGAAACAAGCTGTAGTTAACATGCTCTTGCCACCATTTTGAAAAACAGGATGCTGAATACATAAGATGCTGTGGGCATTTTAATTACAGTGGCTCCCGAGACCTGCTCTAATTAAAATGCTGCCCCCCACCCGTCCTCAGAGCATGTGTATAGATATTCCTACAGACCTATAAAACTAATGGCCCTCATGAAGTACATGAGAAGTATCAAGATAACACTTCCGCTCCATCCTCTTAGTCTCCTGGATAATTAAGACTAATTTGTCTAAACTGGCATTGAAGCTGCATGTGTAAACAACTGTCCCCACACTTGTTTTAATATGAGTCAAAGCCTGACACAATCAGACCCAGGATAAACCCAGCCTTTATTTTAAGCCTTAGGGTAGAAACAGATGTCACCCAACATTGCATTTTTGTCACCATAAAAACTTTTATGGTGGCACAAATAGATGTCCCTTCACTTTCCATTTCATATCAGTGAGCACAACTAAAGGTAGTACTGAATTTACTTAATTCCAAGATGAGGTTTTCTCCCCCATTTAATATGAAGGGAGAAGCCTCTTGTCTTAGCATCAAACACAAGGGTGGTTGAGGGAAAGGCAGCTGCTGTGGCTTGGGCTCCAGCCCCTACCCAGGGTTGGGGCCATAGCCAATACCCACCCCTGGTCCCACTGCCTGTGCACTCTACCATCTACCCCCTGCAGGTTCTTCCCCATCTCCCACCCCTTGCACAGCCCCTGCTCCTCTGCTGTTTCTTTGCCTCCCTTATCTTTGCTTTGTGCTTGCACTCTGTCCACACTCCAGCCTGGGGCACTGAGCACAGCCCCAGCCCAGCCCCATAAAAGTGGCACCATGCTCAGTACTCCCAGCTATAAAGTGGAAAAAGCCTGCTAGCATAGCATACTACCATGTGGTAGTCATGGGGGACCTGAACTTCCCAGACATCTGCTGGGAAGAGCAGTCAGCCAGGTCTGACCGCTCATGTAAGTTCTTAGCAGGAATGCAGGACCTCCATCTAACTCAGGAGGTGCACAGCCCCACCAGGGGACATGCCTTGTTGGACCTGGTGCTGGCCATGGGAGATGACCTGGTGAGGGGGCTGCGGGTGCTTGACCACCTGGGCGACAGTGATCATCGCCTGCTGGAATTCACCATCCAGCACAAGGTGG